AAAAAAAAAAAAAAAAAAAAAAAAAAAAAATAAGTTAAAACACAAAATATGAAAGGATTTCCATTGTAAATAAAACGTTTTTCGGTATTCTTCTATGATCATTACGATCAGAAGCACCGCCCCACTTACATGGCCAGTTTTTTTCCTACGAAACACAGAAAAAACTACAGCTCAGTTTCATAATATTAAAACATACCTTTCAAAAGCTTTAGTGCAACCTAGAGAACTCAGTTTTGTAACATTAAGAGAAGCCAGGATTGCTAAAAAGCCCAAATTGAAGTATATTTCCCAAACTGTAAATCTAGTCGCCATTCTTGCAAAACAGGCAGAAAAAACAAGTGAACGAAATAGCAAAATGAAAAAATTTCAAATTTAGTCCAAAATTTGGAAATTAAAGTAAACTTGATCCCTCCTTCTACTGAACCACCGAATTTTTTAATGCAGCTGTCTTCACAGTCTAGTCGCTCTACAATTTACCTCCTCCTTCGCCCCCAGATACTACTTGTTATGCTAATGATGTAAACCTGCATTAAGGAAATTAAGCCTGAAATTTATCACATCCCAACCAGAAATCCTGCTTTAGGTCACTACTACGTTAATAACACTAGTCAGTTGAGAAACTGTTGGTAAAATTAAATATTAACCCAAAAAGCTACTGCAGTTTATAGTGTCCGTCATTGGGTTCCCCATACCTCCTAATCATCTTTCGCATTTGGGCCTTCTGATCAATTGCTTAATTCATCTGCCGTGGCTTTCGAAATATCTTCGTAGTTCCTTTCCAGACCTTATCTGAAAGATTTGAAGTAAACAAAAAATAAACCTTTCCCCCACCAAATACTATTAAATTTTCACAGTCCCGAGAAAGTAAATGAAAGTACCTCACAATAAATGAGAAGAAAAAATGATAAATATCTACAGATGTCTGTCCTAAACCTATCAAATACCTTGAACAAAGAGTTGTAAATCACGTTTTTTAACTGTCGCTACAGTTTCATAGAAAAACTGTAAACCCGTGTACCCTAGAGACGTAGCTCTACAAGCTTACTCCACATTTTAAGCATAGCTGACCTTTCCAACTTCCCTACGAAGGTTTTGCGCAAGGTTGCCCTTAACGCCTACAGACAACATGCTAAAAAACTTCAACAGTCTTCTTGCTGAAACGAAATTTTCCTCATACCGCATGGCAAACCTTAGAATAAATCATGCAGAACTATATTTATCATCTCTGATAATAGCCAAAGGTAAATTGTTAACCTGATTAAAATTTAAAAAATTACACCTGTGTTTCAAGTATTTATCAGAGAGAAGAAACCACCACAAAAAAGCCAGAGATAACTCTGCATGCAGGTTCTTCACAACTGCTATCTTATGCCACCATGATAAAACCAAGTCTATCTGTTCAACAATTAGCATCAACAATTTTTTTGCGGAATTATATGTAAACAAACATCAACAAGAAACTTTAGAATCACAAAGTATACAGAAAAAACTGCATTACGAAGTTATTTTTCTTCAGTTTAAAAGAATAAAAGAGTGATGCCGCTTCCCCTACTTTTCGTTTTCATTTGTGTCAAATTACCTTATGAAAAGTCAATTTCCAATCAAAAAATGAGAAAATAACTTCGCTAGGAAATGTTCCCCAACACAGAGAAGAAAAAATACGTCCTGAAACAGACGAAGAAATCTCGCTTCTGTTTTATCAGAATTTATAAAATATGCATTTCCTGTGTGATTACTTCCTTGTTTCTCCGGACAGTGAAAAAAGTAAGCATTTAGCCTACAGCTCATTAAGGTAGGTGCACTAAAGACAACAATGCTGCCATGAAAATACTGAAAAAGCTTAGTTACATAAGAAAAAAGCAAAAACTTCTAACCCTCCAAGCATATAATATATGAAGTGATACGAGACAAAATTGGAGAGATCTTATCCTCATCCATAAATCCAGTCTGCCACTCCTCCAAAAATAGGCTGAAAACAAAGATAAGCATAAACTGTTCCAAAAAAAAGTCTAATCAGAAGACCAATAACAACAGCTCATACAAAAGATTAGTTTACAAATAGGAGTGAAGCATGTACTTTGATAGTCTTTGCTCACACAATGGGTATGGTTCCATATCTTGCCTTGTAACTGTTAGAATAACTAGCGCGGTAGGGTGGGATGAGTGGTCAGGATCACACAGAGTATGGAGACTTAAAGGCGCATCACCCCGAAGTCTATCAATATCTATGTTCCAAAGAATATTAGATTTAAAAAAAAAAAAATCAAAAAGTCAAATTGAACTGCAAAAAGTATTAATTACCATTCAGGATAACGGTATTACTACGCTTAGATAAAGAGGTATTAATTTCGATATCAAGCTGATAACGTTCCTTCTTTTCGTTGCAAGCAATCGTGTCGACTTCACCTCTCTGGCGAACTTCTGTGAACACCGCAATTATATCATCTGCAAACTCTTTCGCTTTAGAACCCGCAATCAGCAAAGTATAAGGTTCCATGGGTTCCTGAAAAAGAGGGAAATAATGGAGGCCACAGAAACAACAACAGAAATTTTTAGTGTAAAACAGCTCCGACTCACTTGATACGTTCAATATCCCTGACGTTGTTATAATTCTGCCCGTAGCGCAAAGAAAAATCCCCGCTATAGCACCAGTTTGCTACCAACAATTTTTTAGGGCATACGAAGTAACCAAAAAACTTTTCAAAATGAACGTTGCCCTGCTAGAAAACCCAAAAATTCCAAGAAAACCTCACCTTATCAATCCATTTCTCACCGAGAAGTCTTAAAACATTTCTCGTATTTGATTTTTCAAAAGGATATTTTTCTTTCAACAGACGCCCCATCCGCTTCCGATATCTTAATCACCAACTCAACATTATCGATTCCACGAGTAGCAGCAAAACAAAAAATATAACAAAGTAAAGAGAAAGTCAAAAATTCCGAAAATGCAAAACATCGTTCGTCTTCAAAATTCTTCGACAATAATAGTAACAAATAATAAATCAAAAGATAAACCTGCTAAACAGTGAGACTTCCGTTGAGGCTGCCGTAAAATAAAAGTAAAGATAGAAGAGCCCAAGAACAATTATGCTGAGTATTACCGCGTTAATCATCGTTGTATTACTCGCCCACCCTGAACCTAAAACTAATGAATACCTAAAGATGATTCATAACTCATGAACCACAGTTGCTCCAAATAGCATTAGAGCCTCTCCGTCTAGAAATGGTCTCAATATTAGGAGAGTTTCAAACTTATTCAATCCCCAAGACTTACTTTACCGTATTTGAAGGATTTTGTTTGACACATCAAAAAAAACCATGAAAACTGCAAACGTAATTCCTGACTGAATTGCTCACAAATGGCAAAAATTCTTAGCGCAAAACGTATAGATGGCAAAAGCTCTCAACATATTGAAAAACCCTATTTATGGTAAGAGAAACGGCTCTATCGCAGTCAAGAGTTGCAAGTAAACCCAATCATTCCAAGCCTCACCTCACTTTATCAACCAGAAAATACATTTTTCGACCGTTAACCACGCTTTTGTCTTTTTTTACTAGATTCTCAACACTCCTAATTCATCTGTGATACTCTGAAACGTTTCTGTTCAGTTCTTGCTAACTTTCTAACGGTTTAATGCTGAAGTATTGTTGTAATCCCTCCTACATTTCACAACGCAGATGCGGTAGTATATGGTCAACTCATTTCGTAACAGGGATTCTAAAAATCTGAAAAAACTTTGAGCCCTTCTTCCCTCTTTACCCAGTATAACTCCTTTACTCAAAGTTCTCGCGGTGTGCAAAAAACATACTAATATTTGTTTTTCAAAAAATGTATTTTAACAAGGCTACGATAAGAAGCACTAACCCATTCGCGTATCTGATGCATAATTGTGACGGTAACTATACGGTGAGTGTGACGTTCGAAATGAGGTGTTTTGAGATCTTGATGTATCAAACGAAGAATGGGTACTTTTTGGTGGGGTGCTGCTGTTATCGAAGTTATCATCCCTATGGTAGTAAAGGAAAATTAAATGAAAACCTTTGGATTTTAACAATTTATAGATGTAGAAACAAAAAAAAAAATAAATTAATTAACAAATCGGTTTTCCAAAATTAACAAATACTTACTCTTCGTTGGAAAATGATGAATCATCTGTGCACAGTTGCTCATCACTTTCTTCTTGGTCCGCACCACGATACAACTCGTTGTTGGCATCAAGGCGAGGATAGAGACAATTAGACGGGCTACTCCTTGTAGCAGGTGACCGTGAACGTCTACCCGAGCTACTACCGGACGGTCGTTGCTTTAAACCGCTAGCCGAAGAAGACATGCGAGAAGATGCGGACACTTTAACTC